TTTTCTTCATGTGTCTATCCTCCTCCTCTGTTCCCCACCCCTGTAGAGTGCCCATTTCCTGGTGTTTATTTTGTTGGACTGTGAGTTAGCCTTTCTTAAGAATTGCACTATTTGAGTTCTCCCTTGAATCTATCATATTTCAGTTAATACAGAAATGCACCACTCGGATACCACCACAAAGTGTGTGTGTGTGTGTGTGTGTGTGTGTGTGTGTGTGCTGGTCCTGGGACTAGAACTCAGGACCTGAACACTATCCCTGAGTTTCTTTTTCTCAAGTGCATTAGTACTACCACTAAACCACAGCTCCACTTCCAGCTTTTTTTTTTTGGCGGGGGGGGGGGGTAATTGGAGCCCATATCTCACAGACTTTTCTGCCTGGGCTGGCTTCAATCACAGAGAGGCAGAGAGGGGGAAACAAGGAGCAAGGGAAGGCAAGGGAGTGGGAGAGGGAGAGGAGGATTAATCTAGCTCAAAGTTTTGAAGGTTCCATGACTCACTGGCCCGCTTGGCTTCACGCCTATGGCCAGGTAGCACTATAGGTAGTAATACCATAACAGCACATGGCAAAGTAGAATCACTCATCTCATAGCCAACAGCAAAGAGGAACAAAAAGGAGGTCAGCATCCTATAATCCCCTTGTGTGCCTATAACCCAGTAATCTAAGGATCCCACCCAGTTCCCACTCCCAGAGTTCATACTGCCTGCCAACAGTGCACCAAGGGACCAAGACTTTGACACATGGGCTTTTAGGAAATGCTATGCAATTTACAGCAATCCTGCATTAAACATTTAAAAAGGAAAAGAACAGTGGTAAGAATTTAAAGAAAAGAACAATCAAAAAAAGTAAAAGCTTGTAACTGATTTATAAACATTATACGTGATAGACATTCAGCTCTATGGAAAACCTCCTAATACCCCTGATTTTTCTCATCTTTCCATAAATTGCCTTTGGGGAACCACTATGTTTGAGATTTACATAGGGGCTATAAAAGAATAAGCTAACCAAATATTCAATTTCTACTGTTTATGGACCATGGCATGGGCTTAGGTTTTCCTTGGCAGCAGAGTAGAGGAAGGCCAGGAAGTGAGAAAATGTATGAATCAGCCCCATCCAATCTCAGCCTACATAGCTATTCATTATTGCCAGTGCAGTCAATACCTCACACACACAATGGATAGGGGAAATGCCAAGCAAGGAGATTATTACTGGGAATTTGCCCCAAGCAAGTGAATGTGCAACTAGAAACAATAAGATTTCCCTGAATTCAAATACAATATAAGTAAAAAGTCAGCTTCACATACTGGAAGGGATAAAGTTCTTTTTCTAAAGAAGCTGGATGATTATCCCAAGTAAGTAAAGGGTTAGACAGCTCTATCTGCTAACAAGACACAGGTATACGCAAAGCTAATTAAAGTGACCAAGGAGAATATAAGAAAGTAGTAAAAATGATTTATTTTTACTCAGACTGTCCCCCTTCCTTGTCCATGGAAGCTACATTGCAAGATCTCCAGCACTAGCCTTGAGCAAAAATCTCAGGGACAGCACCCAAGCCCTGAGTTCAAGCCCTACTATCAACAACAACAAAAAACAAGTTTAAATCCAGAATGAATATCAATAGACTGTAAAAAATGTTTTGTGACTAATAAGGCAAGTAATGTTGTCCAGGATGGCTACCCAGGACAATGGGATGATTCACCTCTGAGTAAATGGAGAGGTAAAGCATCAGCTCCAGGGCTGGAGGTCCTAATATGCTACTCCAAATAACATGCAATTTATAAATTATGAATGATTTACTTCTGGAATTTTCTACTTATTGTTTTCTGAATGTAACAAAAGCATGTGAACCCAAACCATGAATAATAGGAGACTAATGTATATACAGGGCTCAGTACCAACTACAATTTCAGTCAGCCACTGGGATCCGAGGAACACATTCTTTGAAGGTAATTGGCAAGTACCAGCATTGGGGGAGGGGAGAACCATATTTGTTTCATATGCCTATTTACATTTTGAATTCTTGGATTCTTGGGAGTCTCACAAGCAAAAATAAAACCTTACCCAATGTGAAGAACTTAATGAAAACAGTGGAAAGCTACAGAAGTGGCTTCCTTTCATGCAAATAAATACTGACAAACTTTGGGGGTTTTCACCATGATAAGATCTGTAAGGTACAAGTGTTAGTGATGAAACCACAATGATACTTCTGTACCAAAATGGTGGACTGCTGAGAGAGGTTGCATCCTAGACCATAATTTTTAATTTAGATCAAAATAGTCACTTTTAGAGCAACTTCTCTTCAAGACCTATAACTTGAAGGGAAGCACAAAGCCCAGAGTGTAGGCTGTGAAGAATGGATCATTTTAGCGAAACGCAGAGGCTGAGCAGAAGTAGCTGTGCTAGTCACTCTACAATGGTATTTATTGTTGTTGTTAGTTCTTGGTTCAGAGCTCCATAGATTTTGAGTCATCTTCTCCAGCTCTATTTTTCCCACCAGCCCTGATATTTTTAGTGTGCAATTTTGAAGAACTACAGCTGCAACCAAAACACCTGTACTTTATTTTCATGTGTCGTCAAAGCCCTGATGTGACCCATGGAAGAAATTGTAATTGGGCTTCCCGCATCATCTGGAGGAAATGCTTCTTATGTAGTCCATTTCTTAACATTGAAATAGCTTCAGTGTGGAGAAAAGCTGTGCTTCAAGTTTCCCTGGTTGAATGGAAAAAGAAAGAGAAAAGGAAAAAAAAAGAATATTTAATTCCTTTATTTCTAATTGCATGTTTGCTCTGTAGTCTAAGTATAATCTAACGCTGGTAATATAGAATTTCTCCCCAGTGCTAGCTCTCATTGACTGGTAGTGGCTGCCTGAAGCGCTGAAGTGAGGATGCTGAAGCCACTTCTGGGCTCAGTGGGAAAGAATGCCACAATTGATTAGTCATGTCTGTTAGCAGTTACTGTGCATGTGTCACTCCAATAACCTAAGACACAGTTTGGGAAATTTGCCTGCCAAGATGAATGGTCTGGGAGAAAAACAGACTTAGTCCTGGAGTTGGTACATTTACCTTTGTAAATGTATGAATCGATTCTCTGATCACCTGTCTATCTCTGTCAGTCTCACCTGAGGCTGTTCACTTAGATAAACTGAGAACATGAAACAGATAGGGCAGCATGGCTGAAGGCACAGAAGCCTTGACACTGAAATGCTGTGTACCCAGCATGCCTTGCCTTAAGAGTTCTGAAACTCCTCCATTATCCTTTTACTCGCTAATGCTTACTAGTAGGTATTCACTGTATCTCTCCTTTACTATTTCCCATACTTCAAAGACAGGCAAGATGCTTTGTACACATGCACTTCATTTCTCATGGACTTACAATGGGAAGCTGCTTGATATTTTAATTATCAAATTATTTAAAGATAATTAGAGGAAAGAGCATGAGGTCTGTTTTCTGTCTAGAAATGTTTCTTTCCTACTGAAAAGAAAAATGCATAATATGAACCTGCAGAACAAATATCAGTAGCTCAGAAAGAAAACCACAAAAGAATAACTCAATGGAGCCTTCTGGAAAGATCTGCTACTTTGCCAGTGCTGTGGGCAGCACAGAGGGAGCGCAGATCATGTGAGGAAGAATGGGAACTTTAAGACATAAACAGCTCTGAGTTCAACAGTAGTTCAAAGAAGTCAAACTCCAAGATGGAAGACATTTTTGGAAAGACTCAGCCAATCTCTGCTCATGTATTCTCCCTCTCTCTCTCTTTCTCCTTCTAACTCTCTGTCTCTGTCTCTGTCTCTCTCTTAGTCTACCTCTTTGTCTCATGTCTCTCAATCTGTCTCTCTGTTTCTCTCTCTCTCTGTCTCAGGGGCTTGAACTCAGGGCCGAGGCACTGTCCCTTAAGGCTAGTACTCTACCACTATTCTCTACCACATTTCTCTTTTATCCTTTATCTTTTTATCCTATGCTTGCAAAAGAATCATATGTAAATGAGTCTAAAAGAATATTTTAGTAAATAAAGCTTTGTGCCATGTTGACACCATTTCTCTGCTTTATCTTTTTTTTTTTTTTTTTCCAGTCCTGGGGCTTGAACTCTGGGCTTCTTTCTTTGCTGAAGGCAAGCACACTACCGCTTGAGCTTCCAGCTTTTTTGAGTAATTTGCTGGAGATCAGAGTCTCCATAGTCTTCTGCCCAGGCTGGCTTCGAACCGTGATTCTCAGATCTCAGCCTCCTGTGTAGCTAAGATTACAGGTGCCCAGCTCTCTGCTTTATCTTTTGTACATAAAATATCAATTCCTCTTCTAATTGGTGATATTTTGGATTCAATGAAATGTGCAAAATTATTTGCAACTATAATATAACACGTAAGGTAATGCAACTGCAAGAGCTTAATTATTCATAAATTGTATACATTCTCCTACCATTTTACTTGCAAACCTAGGATTAGAATTTAGGAGATCTTAATTCTTGACCAGCCCATTTGAACATCATCTAACACCATGTTTTAGAAAGCTTCGTTTTAAGTAACCAAATTATAGGCTGGGTACTTAACTAAATGGGTCAGCCTACAATTTCACCTCCTCTAATGCCAGGCCAATGAGATTGTTCAGTATGAACAAATGTCTTATAGTATGACATACTTCAGGTCTCAACATAAGCATAGAAGAAAAAAATGTTTATTTCCATGTGTGGCATTAAATTTGTTTCTTGTGTAAATACTCCATGTACTTATCTATTTCCTTTCTTGTCATTTTTTTATTTCATTCTCACACCAAAGAGACTTTTTGTGTGAATTTCTACCGTTAATTATCATGACATAAAAGTCTATTATTGGAAGTGGCTCTGTGGCTCAAGTGGTAGAGTGCTCCCCTTGAGCTGAAGAGCACAGGGTCAGTACCCAAGCCCAGAGTTCAAACCCCATGACCGACCAAAAAAAAAAAAAGCAAAAGTCTATTATTAGTCTGTAGCACATAAAAATTGACCACATTTTGTCATTTTGTTGACATGCAGAAATAGTATATGAGAAAGTCACATAAAGCAGTTGAAGTTGAAGTTTACAATCAGACAAAAGAACAGCCCTTCGTTTGTCATGACTGAGAACCTTCTGGATACAGTAGCTCTTCCATTTGCACTTCTGCTCAGCTCAGCAGGAATCACTAAATAACACTTGTTATATAGATGGATCCCTGTGAAGAACTTCATTTAATCAATTCTGCATATAATTTTAACTCAATAAACATTTCTAGAACTCTGTATTATGGGCTGGGCTCTATTTTTAGCCTTAACTACAAAGATTAATGAATCACAGACCCTACTCTTTGGAGCATTCAGGCTAGAATGGGAGATAAGCATAGACATAATTATGGTGCAAAATAGCAAACAGCATAATAGCTATAAATAACATGCTGAAAATCCACTTAAACCCTGCCTGACAAAAATGACACCTCAGAAAGGTAACATTTGTAGTCTTGAAGTCTGACAATTTACTTGTCAGAAAATGGAATGGGTTACTTCACCCAGCAGAATGGCTTGTCCAAAGCCACAGAGACACAACAAAGAAAGATGTGTTTGAAGAACCTTAGTTTGAATGATCCTAAGGATATGCAGCAAACGTAGGAACCATGGCAGGCTCTGAGACGGGAATGGAGATAAGAACTCTTGTTATGAAAATCTCTATCTGTGAAGGTTAGAGGGGTTCCATTTTATTCTGCAGGTGGAGAGCAATCACAAAGCTCATCCACATGGTTTTAGATCACTTAGAAATAAAACACCTTTTTCTACTTTAAATCCATGCATCCATCATCTAACCTTACAGAACATTCCCACCTAGAACAGGCAAGGGTTCTTTCTGACCGACCTTGGCACACATGCAAGCCAAAGCAACCTGGATTTCGAAGGGGTTGTTTCAATCCTGACATCTCTTTTAAACACAGTCATTGAGATGTGGTTCCTCGTTGTGGCTGGAAGCACAGCCAGAGGCAGCATTACTGTGAGAGATTGTGGCTTTGACAGTTCTGTGCTCCTGCACTTCAGAGCTCTCTGCTTCACATGGCTGAGGGAGCTTGCCAACACATACTCCATGTTTTCATATTTTCCTCATTGGGTAATTACAAAATGGGCAATTCCATCTAACTGCAGTGAGATTGATTTCATCCAAACTGCCGACCGGCTAATCAGTGGCCCAGTTTTCTAGCCATGTGATCTGGCATCTAGCTTTTACTACTCATCAAATTAAATTACATAGCACTGATAAATTACCAGCTTAGACTGGGCAGAACATATTTCGCTTAAGCTCCATCCTGCTTAATAGTTGTATGTCTAATGGTGCCATGGTTTATCTATATGTGGATGTCAAATGGAATATATCAAAACCTCACCACAAATGGACACCTGGACACATATACGTATGTGTTTATATGAATATAAATCAATGTTCCCATTTGTGTGAATTTTCTAGATACATAAAACTAAATAACTATTAAAACATTTTAGTTATATATAGTTTATATAAATTCCATGCATATTGATTTTTCAAGATGCCTAAAGCTAAATGACTACTCAGACATTTTTTTGTTTTGCTTTTCTTAAATGAAAGCATTATGGAAATGTTACTAAAAGTGCTGGGAATGTAAATTCCAGAGTCAGCCTGATCTCTTTTTTTCATCTACAAGCTTTCTGTCTTGGGCAAATAGCAATAGTGCTGACTCTCACATCTATAATGTGAGAATAATAGTAACTACCTCATCGGGTTGCTGTGCAAATTGCATGAGATATGCATGTGAAGCATTTGACATGCAGTGAACATTCAAGAAATGCTAGCACTGAATATTTTATGCATATTAGAATTGGTTCTGAAAAACTAGGGCCATTCATTGTGAACATTAATGATGCAGGACAACTAATAGCTGATACTTTGGGGTCCTATTAAAAGTCAAAAAGTTATTTGCCCCTCTAGTAAATGGCCCCAGAATGCCAGGCATCTTCCCCGTCCTGTCTGTTGTTTGAGTTTTTATGTAACGTCCCTGGCTTTCAAATGATCATTTGACATGTTCTGAAATTGCTAATATCTAGGAACCTAGTTTTCTTCCTTTCTTAGTATTTCATCGGCAAATCCCAAGTTGTTAAAATTCTTTTTAAAGCAAAAGTTTCAAAGCTCTGATTGAACATCTGAGGCCCCGATGCATATCCTCCTTTGACCTCAGTGTGCAAATGTCTACAGACTAGCTATGTGCATGTGATAATGTAAAATAATATTTTATAAAATGAACTCCACAAAAAGGAAAAGTGAGACTTTTTTACTGGCTGTTGTTGCTGTTCGTTTTCTTTTCCTTTTATTTGTTTGTTTAGTTTGTTTGTCTTTGGGAGGGTTCCTCAGAAAAGGTAGAACAAGGATGATATAACAGTGGTACTCACTAGATACTATGTGGAAAACAAACTGTACATCTTGTAGGTAGGGACAGGAGGGAAAAACTGGGAGAGAGCAAGGGAAGGAGAGTCACAAAGAATTGGACTCATTACCTGACTGGTGTAATTGTAAACACTCTGTATATCACCTCTACAATAACACAAAGAAGGCACATAAATACAAAAACCTTTAAGGCTATGCTTCACTTAGCCTGCTATGTACTTACTGTCTATGTTAGCCTCTCAAAGGTCTTATCTGCCAATTTCCAGTTTTGTGCTGTGTATATCAGAGATATGGCTATAAAGTAATCTTCTAAAGTGAGAGGATCCTCTTAACATTGTGTTTATATCTGAGTGACACAGGGTTCTAGGGGCCTGTATCTGTAGTTCAACCAAGAAGCAATAGTTCCACCTCTTTTGTTAAAGCAAAACCAAAGCACTAGGGATATGGGTCAGGAGTAGAACACTTCCAAACAGTATTTATTATGTATCTTTACCTTTTCTTGATTTGGAAACAAGTAAGTCCTCATACCTCTTACTCTATTACTCTCTATGAAAATACTCCACATGAATGAGAACCACCATGTAGTAGTCTATGTGAATGATGGCCCTGAGGTTGTGCTGTGGAGCAATGTCAAGTGACACTGCCATTGTAAGAAAGTTGTGTATTTTGGTGTTCGAGGGAGTTTGAGGTGATTCGGTGGCTATCTATCTCAGTGTCCAAGATAACTACACTTACCTCTCTCTTGTTCCCCTCATGTGAATGTTATCAACAGCAGCATTAAACACGTGTCTTGGGGGGGGTTGTTGGTTTTTTTGGTCAGTCATGGGGCTTGAACTCTGGGCCTGGGTGCTCTTCCTGCGCTTGTCAGCTCAAGGTTAGCGCTCTACCACTTGAGCCACAGCACCACTTCTGGCTTTTTGTCTATGTGGTGCTGAGGAACTGAACCCAGGGCCTCATGCATGGGAGGCAAGCCTTCTACCACTGAGCCACCTTCATATCCTAATCTTAAGGATATTTTCTCCAGGAAATAACCTCTGTCTCATGTTATTTCCTGTATCATAAACCTTGCTCTAAAAAGTAAATTAATCTCCTTTAGATCACTTTCTCCCCTTTAAATAGCTAATTCTATATTTTCAATGGACATTTTTATTTATTAGTGTTTCTATTTTTAAATTTTGAGATACTAAATGCTTCTTTGTTTTTTTCTTTTTTGGGGGGGGTCCGGTCGTGGGGCCTGAACTCTGGGCCTGGGTGCTGTCCCTCAGCTCTTCAGCTCAAGGCTAGCGCTCT